TCTTTTAACTTTGTTTTTTAGTGGGGAAAAACCTAAAATTTTATGTTGGAGTTGAAAAATAAAAATAATTAATTTTTTACACCTAAAATAGTCTATTATGTATGGTTCTTAGTGATAAAAAAACCTAAGACTTTGGGATGGTGTAGAAAAAACCTAAAATATTTGTCATTCATTTATAGTCTTTAAACTTTGTGGCTTACTGAAGAAGAAACATGAAATTTGGTGATGGAGAAGAAACATATTGAATATATTTACATCTAATTTACCATAATTCGATGTGAAAAAGGTAAATATAAATAAGTTTGAGCTTCATTATTTAATTTTAATTTTTACCTATATTATTTAAAAAAATATGTCATGAACTATAGTCTTTTAACTTTGTTTTTTAATGGGGAAAAACCTAAAATTTTATGTTGGAGTTTAAAAATAAAATAGAATTAATTTTTTACACCTACTATTGTCTATTATGTATGGTTCTCAGCGATAAAAAAAACTAAGACTTTGGGATGATGAAGAAAAAACCTAAAATATTTGTCATTCATTTATAGTCTTTTAACTTTGTGGCTTACTGACGAAGAAACATGAAATTTGGTGATGGAGAAGAAACATATTGAATATATATACATCAAATTTACCATAATTCGATGTGAAAAAGGTAAATATAAATAAGTTTGAGCTTCATTATTTAATTTTAATTTTTACCTATATTATTTAAAAAAATATGTCATGGACTATAGTCTTTTATCTTTTTTTTTAATAGGGAAAAACCTAAAATTTTATGTTAGAGTTGAAAAATAAAATAGAATTAATTTTTTACACCTACTATTGTCTATTATGTATGGTTCTCAGTGATAAAAAAAACCTAAGACTTTGGGATGGTGAAGAAAAAACCTAAAATATTTGTCATTCATTTATAGTCTTTTAACTTTGTGGCTTACTGACGAAGAAACATGAAATTTGGTGATGGAGGAGAAACATATTGAATATATATACATCTAATTTCCCATAATTCGATGTGTAAAAAATTAATTATATTTGTGAAAAAAGTAAATATAAATAAGTTTGATCTTCATTATTTAATTTTAATTTTTACCTATATTATTTAAAAAAATATGTCATGGGTTATAGTCTTTTATCTTTGTGTTTTAGTGGGGAAAACCTAAAATTTTATGTTGGAGTTGAAAAATAAAATAGAATTAATTTTTTACACCAACTATAGTCTATTATGTATTGCTCCTAGAGATAAAAAAACCTAAGACTTTGGGATGGTGAAGAAAAAACCTAAAATATTTGTCATTCATTTATAGTCTTTTAACTTTGTGGCTTACTGACGAAGGAACATGAAATTTGGTGATGGAGAAGAAACATATTAAATATATTTACATCTAATTTACCATAATTCGATGTGAAAAAGGTAAATATAAATAAGTTTGAGCTTCATTATTTAATTTTAATTTTTACCTATATTATTTAAAAAAATATGTCATGGACTATAGTCTTTTATCTTTGTTTTTTAATGGGGAAAAACCTAAAATTTTATGTTGGAGTTGAAAAATAAAATAGAATTAATTTTTTACACCTACTATAGTCTATTATGTAAGGTTCTCAGTGATAAAAAAAACCTAAGACTTTGGGATGGTGAAGAAAAAACCTAAAATATTTGTCATTCATTTATAGTCTTTTAACTTTGTGGCTTACTGACGAAGAAACATGAAATTTGGTGATGGAGAAGAAACATATTGAATATATATACATCAAATTTACCATAATTTGATGTGAAAAAGGTAAATATAAATAAGTTTGAGCTTCATTATTTAATTTTAATTTTTACCTATATTATTTAAAAAAATATGTCATGGACTATAGTCTTTTATCTTTTTTTTTAATGGGGAAAAACCTAAAGTTTTATGTTGGAGTTGAAAAATCAAATAGAATTAATTTTTTACACCTACTATAGTCTATTATGTATGGTTCTTAGTGATAAAAAACCTAAGACTTTGGGATGGTGAAGAAAAAACCTAAAATATTTGTCATTCATTTATAGTCTTTTAACTTTGTGGCTTACAGACGAAGAAACATGAAATTTGGTGATGGAGAAGAAACATATTGAATATATTTACATCTAATTTACCTTAATTCGATGTGAAAAAGGTAAATACAAATTAGTTTGAGCTTCATTATTTAATTTTAATTTTTACCTATATTATTTAAAAAAATATGTCATGGGTTATAGTCTTTTAACTTTGTTTTTTAGTGGGGAAAAACCTAAAATTTTATGTTGGAGTTGAAAAATAAAAATAATTAATTTTTTATACCTAAAATAGTCTATTATGTATGGTTCTTAGTGATAAAAAAACCTAAGACTTTGGGATGGTGTAGAAAAAACCTAAAATATTTGTCATTCATTTATAGTCTTTAAACTTTGTGGCTTACTGAAGAAGAAACATGAAATTTGGTGATGGAGAAGAAACATATTGAATATATTTACATCAAATTTACCATAATTCGATGTGAAAAAGGTAAATATAAATAAGTTTGAGCTTCATTATTTAATTTTAATTTTTACCTATATTATTTAAAAAAAATATGTCATGGGTTATAGTCATTTATCTTTGTTTTTTAGTGGGGAAAAACCTAAAATTTTATGTTGGAGTTGAAAAATAAAATAGAATTAATTTTTTACACCTACTATAGTCTATTATGTATGGTTCTTAGTGATAAAAAAACCTAAGACTTTGGGATGGTGAAGAGAAAACCTAAAATATTTGTCATTCATTTATAGTCTTTTAACTTTGTGGCTTACTGACGAAGGAACATGAAATTTGGTGATGGAGAAGAAACATATTGAATATATTTACATCTAATTTACCATAATTCGAGGTGAAAAAGGTAAATATAAATAAGTTTGAGCTTCATTATTTAATTTTAATTTTTACCTATATTATTTAAAAAAATATGTCATGAACTATAGTCTTTTAACTTTGTTTTTTAATGGGGAAAAACCTAAAATTTTATGTTGGAGTTGAAAAATAAAATAGAATTAATTTTTTACACCTACTATTGTCTATTATGTAAGGTTCTCAGTGATAAAAAAAACCTAAGACTTTGGGATGGTGAAGAATAAACCTAAAATATTTGTCATTCATTTATAGTCTTTTAACTTTGTGGCTTACTGACGAAGAAACATGAAATTTGGTGATGGAAAAGAAACATATTGAATATATATATACATCAAATTTACCATAATTCGATGTGAAAAAGGTAAATATAAATAAGTTTGAGCTTCATTATTTAATTTTAATTTTTACCTATATTATTTAAAAAAAAATATGTCATGGACTATAGTCTTTTATCTTTTTTTTTAATGGGGAAAACCTAAAATTTTATGTTGGAGTTGAAAAATCAAATAGAATTAATTTTTTACACCTACTATAGTCTATTATGTATGGTTCTTAGTGATAAAAAAAACCTAAGACTTTGGGATGGTGAAGAAAAAACCTAAAATATTTGTCATTCATTTATAGTCTTTTAACTTTGTGGCTTACTGACGAAGAAACATGAAATTTGGTGATGGAGAAGAAACATATTGAATATATTTACATCTAATTTACCATAATTCGATGTGAATAAAGGTAAATATAAATTAGTTTGTGCTTCATTATTTAATTTTAATTTTTACCTATATTATTTAAAAAAATATGTCATGGGTTATAGTCTTTTAACTTTGTTTTTTAGTGGGGAAAAACCTAAAATTTTATGTTGGAGTTGAAAAATAAAAATAATTAATTTTTTACACCTAAAATAGTCTATTATGTATGGTTCTTAGTGATAAAAAAACCTAAGACTTTGGGATGGTGTAGAAAAAACCTAAAATATTTGTCATTCATTTATAGTCTTTAAACTTTGTGGCTTACTGAAGAAGAAACATGAAATTTGGTGATGGAGAAGAAACATATTGAATATATTTACATCTAATTTACCATAATTCGATGTGAAAAAGGTAAATATAAATAAGTTTGAGCTTCATTATTTAATTTTAATTTTTACCTATATTAGTTAAAAAAATATGTCATGGGTTATAGTCTTTTATCTTTGTTTTTTAGTGGGGAAAGACCTAAAATTTTATGTTGGAGTTGAAAAATAAAATAGAATTAATTTTTTACACCTACTATAGTCTATTATGTATGGTTCTTAGTGATAAAAAACCTAAGACTTTGGGATGGTGAAGAGAAAACCTAAAATATTTGTCATTCATTTATAGTCTTTTAACTTTGTGGCTTATTGACGAAGGAACATGAAATTTGGTGATGGAGAAGAAACATATTGAATATATTTACATCTAATTTACCATAATTCGATGTGAAGGATCATATTATCAGCCTGTGATAGGTCATATGCTTCAGTGACTGAGGATTATTGGGATCTAGTTCATTTTTGAATCAGGGTTTTTATGTAATGATTTGAAGTCCATATCTCAATTCATAATCTTATAATTTCAAGGAATCTTATCGCTCATTTGGTTCATAATGATGGATTTGGTTAATCATTATTCAAGTGGCCAGATAGAGATGGATTTACTGATTCACGGTCCCAGTTTATTTCAAGTTCAAGGACCTATTTCAATTGAGAATCTAAAAAGAGAGGAATCTGGTTTATGAATTTCAAGTTTTAATCAAGAATCAAGATTTCAAAACTCTTCCAAAAATTAATAATAATAAAAGCCACGACAATAAAGTTCAACAATCCCAAATTCAATCTGAATTTCCAAAGTTCATTACAACAAAATTCCAAAAAAAAAGGGATCATCTTATTACAAAAAGCCCATTTGTATTTGTCATTACAAAAATATTACAAAAAAGAGTAAGGCCCAATTGATACAAAAGACATTCAATAAGCCCATTACACATTTTTGTTTTCTTTACAAACACAATCCAAAAATGTACAAAAAATATGTTGTCCATATACAAAGCCCATTTATTATACAAAAATGATGAAAAATATCATGGCCCTCCATGTTCAGCATATACAAACGAGTTACACACTTTCCATGTTGCGAAATCATCGTGTACCCGTAACACAAAGACACAAGCAACGACTTGGTTTAATGCCAGCATTTCCAAAACATGATTCGATTCATCAAAGAAAAGACTGTAACATTGTGCGTCAGTTGTAGCAACCGAACCGCGAGTCACACGCCATATAAGTGTCACCTGCATAAACAACATGAGGCCACTACATTAATTCAAGTTTTCAGCATCATAACCTCACATAACTTGCACAGAATGAAAAACAGGGACCCCATAATGCAAATCGTCACGGCATAACGATAGTTTCCATAAATGCCCTCACACCCACTCTATAAATTCCAACTATTTCCCTGTCATTCACAAGCTCAGGGTAGCCAATTAAACCCTGTCAAAATTTTCCTCTTCATTCACCTTCAAAAACAGAAGAAAAAAAACTCCAAAGACACACCAAAAATCACAAAGCCTTTTTGAAATATCCCTTCACTATGTCATCAAAATCCCTCAACCTCCCACCTTTCAGCAATGTTTTACAAATGAATAAAACTCATAAATTCATCCTCCAAATCCTTCAAACCCAGATCCAAAATGAAACTTCAAACAACCTAAGATAGAGTCAAACCAGAAAGAAGGGGAGACGCACGAATCGAATCGAAAAGAAATTGAAATTAGAAGAAGAGAGAGTTTTCATACCCAACCCAAGCCAAATCTAGGATGAGAAAGGGAAGAAGGAGAATGAGAACAAAACCTGAGCAATTGAGAGACAAACGAGACAAAAACAAAACCTGATGCAAGGAGAGATTAAACCGCACGAGAAGGTTGGAAATCGTTCTGTTTCCATGAGCTTGTTTTTCGAGTGATGGTGTTCTCTGATTTGAAGATATTTTCATTGATTCTTGCATCCAAGAACATGGCTGGTATTTGTTGTTTTGTTACCCCTATTTTGATATATCGCTCTTGTGAGTTTGGACGGGCCGTGTGGCTTGCATCTGTTTGATATGCTGTTTTTTATTTTTGTGGTGAATGGGCTAAGGCTCATTTATTCTTGTTACCACACACCTCTTTTTGCTTTGATCGGCTGTGATTTTTCCCTATGAATGGATGATGGGATTTTTAGCCCAAATGATTCTATGTCTTATTTTATACACCAGATTTCACATACACCACTCCCCTTTTAATTTTCTTTAAAGTTTTTATAATTAATTTTATTCTGAATTTTTGTGATTATTGAATACTATTAATAATTTTGTTAATTACCTCTCTACGAGTTTTTGTTAATTTTTGTGTGTGGGAATTTTGTTACTTTTTATATATTTCCTTTTCAATTCTATTCATTTTCTTTGCAGTATTGGACAATGAAGAAGCCAATGTCACTATTATCGATTTACCAATAAAATAGTGATTTAGATGAGATCACCACTTGTTTTTTCTTTTCATTTTCTTCTCCATCTTGTTCATCTCTATTTTATTTCAATTTCGATCAATGAAAGTCTTTTATTCATAAACGTTGATTTATCGAGGTTGATAACCTTCATTATGTCAAATCTGTAGAAAATTACCGTTGAGGTCATTACCTATACTTTGGGATCGTGATAGGTTACCCTAGATTAATTAACACAAGTTTGTGATTAAGACGAGATCATTCACTTTTTGGCCTGTGTGACACGATTACATTGGAAAATGATCCTCAATATCATTATTCCATAGTGTTTTTAGCACATATATCAATTTACACGGCCTCCTATAGTTTGATCTTCGTCATAGATCGAGCTACGATGGTTTAGCGCTACATTTCATCTCGATTCAATTCACAAATCAACTAACGACTAACTTTAATTTTCGTCAACACATTCTTGTTTTACTTTTCAATCAACATACTCCTGGTTTAAATTCATTTATTATATCTTGAATTATATTATCTTGTGCATATACTCGTTAATATTATCATGATCATACTATTGTAAATATTATCTTGATTATATTGCTATATATCTTGTCATATTATTCATATTGTTCATATCATATTCATATCGTTCATTTCTTATTCACATATTTGAAAACGCATAACAATTATCGAAACAATAAAAGCCTTAATTTGTGGACTGTTGGTTATTTGTCCGAGAAACGGATTATTGGACTTTGTCATAAACCCTAGCTTGGAGTTTTGTCCGACTTTTGTTCAATGCATATTTTAGGACACCTTGCACACACACGGCTTTCTCTTAGGCTACCTTACAACGAGACCTTTTATTTCGCGCAATCCTGTGTAAATTACATGTATCCCTCTCCTATTCTGATGTACACATTCGTTTTTATTTTATTATGGTTTATCTTCTAGGAGCACCCATAGGGACTTGTGTAGACTAAATTGTTTCCTTGGCGAGCATACTTCCTTTTACTATGGTTTATCCTTTCCTGTAGTCGAACTACAAGAGCTCTGATTTCTCATTCTCATCCGAATGAGCATACGTAGGCACAAGGACCCCAATCCTTGGCGAGCACCCTATTCTACAATCACCCATTTTCCCTTAGCTTCTTTATCCTTTTATCCTACCAATTGGCATTTATCATTGAGAAGAAAACAAGCAAGCTTACATAATGCCCATCACAAATCGTACTAAGAGGTTCCCGTTGATCACAATAAACGTGAGGGATGCCAATAACTTTCCCTTGCGTAACCGACTCCCGAACCCGGAACATCAGTTGCAACGATCATGTTTCTATCCTTTCGTCTTAAAAGGTTTTCTCAATATTTTACTTTCCCGTCTCTTTGCAATAAATAAATTTCAGTGGCGACTCTGTCGAACTGCATTTTCACGCCTTTAGCGAGGGTCGTGTTCTCGAATGAATTTTCAAGGTGCGACAATACCATTTCATCTTTATTGCATTGTTAGTGTTAGATTATTATAGAAAGTCTTGTGGTAGAAGGTGAAGAAAAGAAAAATAATTTTAAAAATAAGTCTTATTTTCCTTGAGTTCGTTGGGCGAACCTAGGGCAAATGCTCGCTGGAAGTTCGTTGTACAAACTGAGCGAGACAGAATAAAATGTCAATTTTTCTGCCACATCACTTAAGTTATTTTATTTGGTGGGCCAAAATTTGTGGGGCAAACCTTTCCCTACTTCCCCTTTTATCTTCCCCTTCCCTCTTGTCTCTAGCACAAAATACACAATACACATTCTCTTGTCTCTCTCACCCGTACCTTTGCAAGTGAAGAAATTTTTCCCAAGTTTCAGTTTCAATCTCCATTCTCTCTATCCATTACATTACAGGTTAGATATCTGTTATTTAATCCTTGTTCTTTTTAGAAGCATGTGGTTAAGGTTTATGTGAAAAACATTTAGAAAATTTCTTCTAGCTTTGTAAATAAGTTATGCATGTGTAAGTTGTATTAAATTGCATTGTTATACTTGTATGGGTACTGTGTTGTAAGAATTTTTTAGAGTTTGAGATGTTCTTGCTTAGGTTAAGTTGAAATTGGTTTGAATTATTTTAAGAACTTTGAACCTTTGCATGAACAATGTGGCTTGGTTGTTGTTGTTTACTTGATACTCATTCTAAAATTGGAGAGCACTGATTGAATGGTAGAAATTATATTGTTGTTGTGTTGATATTGAATAGGCAGAACCTAGAATTTTTCAAATTCACAGAGTTCACCTTGAGTTTGTTGGGCAAACTTGGAGTGAATGTTTGCTGGTTCTCGCTGGGCAAACCCGAGGTGAACATGACAGCAATTTTAATTTCTATGTGCTATGATTTCTTGTTATGATCTTTTGCGCTTTACTTTGTTACTAATGTGTCATGTGTTTTTTTAGCTGGTTATGTTTGGTGTTGTGCATATGGCACCTCCAAGAACAACTCCTTCCAAGAAAATAAAGGTTAGCAGATCCTCCCGCTTGCAACCAATCTCATATGACACGAGTGGTTCAAAGGGGCAAAGCAAGTTCCCAGATACGTTGCTCTTGAGAAGAGGAGGATCTTTCCTGAGAAAATATTAACATCAACCCCCAAGGTTCCTACCGAGCGGTAGCCGGAATTCTTCATAAGAAAAGGTGGGACATGCTAATTATCCTGCACTATGCCAAAAAAGACCTTTAGCAGCGCTTTTTTTGGCCTTTAGTAGCGCTTTAAAGCGCTGCCAAAAGTGGCGCTGCTAAAGGTAAAGGCAGCGCTTTTTTCCAATGAAAAAGCGCTGCTAAAAGCTCCATTCATAAGCACCTTTAGCAGCGCTTTTTTAGCCCTTTAGCAGCGCTTTTGTAAGCGCTGCATAATTCCCCCAACCATCCCCCCCTTTAGCAGCGCTTTCAAAAAGCGCTGTCTTAGACCCCCCCTTTAGCAGCGCTTTTGCAAAAGCGCTGCCATAGCCCACCCTTTAGCAGCGCTTTTTACAAGCGCTGCCTTAGACCCCCCCCCCCCCCCTTCCAAACCAATAGCAGCGCTTTTGTAGCGTAATATTTGTGACCTTTAGCAGCGCTTTTATGTAAAAGCGCTGTCTAATGTCCCAGATTTTAAAATTTTTTTTTTATAAAATATTCACCCTGTTTTGTATATTTTACCAACAACCTGCTTATATTACACAAACCTGTTTATAATTCAGGCCTTTATTTCAGCACTTTGGCCTTATAAATAAAATTCAAACTTTGGCCTTAAATATACAATTCAAACTTTGGCCTTATATGTACAATTCAAAACTTTGGATACATTGTAACTCATGACTTTGTTCATAAACATTTTAATATACACATAAACCTGTTTAAATATGTTACAACAAAATTCGATCCTCAGAATTACAACAACACAAATACATTCAATTCACATATAATTACAAGTCTTCCAATCCGATAACTCTATACAATTCTCAACCCAAGAATAAATTGACACCATTCCTCTTTAATTTCTTCCAATTTTGCTTTCGTGTAAGTAGCGCACTTGAATTCATCATAATACTACATACACTACGCCAGAAATGACATTTAGCAGCGCATACAAAGACAACGCTTTTAGAAAAAGCGCTGCTAAAGAGGAATAAAAAAAAAGAAAAAAATTGATAACCAAAGACAGCGCTTTCTCAGAAAGCGCTACTAAATGGGGGTCCTAAGACAGCGCTTCTAAAAAGCGCTGCTAAAAGGGGGGTCTAAGACAGCCCAAAGACAGCGCTTTTTAAAAAGCGCTGCTAAAGGGGGGGTCCTAAGGCAGCGCTTCCAAAAAACGCTGCCAAATGGGGGGGTCTAAGACAGCCCACAGACAACGCTTTTTAAAAAGCGCTGCTAAAGGGGGGTCCTAAGGCAGCGCTTCCAAAAAGCGCTGATGTAGGTATGGTCTACGAGAGCGCTTTTTCCATAAAGCGCTGCTATATGGGTTACATTAGAACGTCTTTGAGAGCGCTTTTTAAAGCGCTGCTAAAGCTATTAAAAAGCGCTACTATAGGTTTATTAGAATTAATTTAAAATACCCACCAGAATTTTTATGAGAAACAGAACAGTCATATTACGTTGCTTTCTTTCTTTCTCTCTGTCGAACAAAGAGTGTTGCCCTATAAACCACCGTTGCCGTCCAACCGTCGCCGTCTGTCCAACCGTCGTCGTCGCCCTCGTCTGTTGCATGACTATCTTGTTATACAATATTAATTACTAAACTTATATATGACTTTTAGGTTCATGATCAGCAGTCGCAACAAGTCAGCAAGAGTAAGATGCCTGAAACTTCCAAGATTCCCAGAAAAGCAATTGTTCCTCGATTTAGGATGTGCTTTGAAACATATGTCGGAACATCAGATGTGCCTGAGGGTGGCGTCCGTCAAATACATATGGAGGCAGGTATTTTCGGTTTTGAATATCCCGAAACAATTGCTAAGGAGGATTTTGATGAGGTTTTCAACCATTCTGAACTGGGCGTCGGTGTTA